CCTCCCTGCTCCTGCTGGCCACACTATTCCTGATATTTTTGAAACACTTCAAACAAACTGAAGCTTCTGTAATCTGCAGAAAAGTGTTTTGGTGGGAAAGGAAGATGTCCCAAAAGGTATGGAGACTAGAGGTATAGAGGATCCCCCAGTAGGTATGCATTTTCTTAATGTTTGGAGCTCTGACATTTGCATCATAGATTTGAACTGGATTGTGAGCTAGGACCAAAGCCCACTGTAAACCTTCATACTTTGTAAGCAGTTAGTATCAAAGCTTATTTTGTTTTTGCAATTCCAGTAGAAATTTGTCTTGTAACCTTATTAGTAAGATTTTCTCTGAAGCCCTCTGCTATTATATTGAATTGCTATGATAAAAGGTAATGAATAAACAGTGTTTGCTGATCTGAGATAATGAATTAAATTTTTCAGTTTTCCTCCTTACTTATTTGATGTTACTTAAATCTGTAATGGTTCACTTCTCATGTTCACCACATTTGTATACTGAAACTAGTTCTTAATGCATTGCTTTTGTACAATGTGTTAGCAGTAGGTGTCAGCTTTAAGGTGTTATTTCAGAGGATATTCTTGCCATTATTACATTTGTCTTGTGCTGAATAAGTTGCATAGTTTAAGTGCAGAAAATTGGTTCTTATATGTGCTTTCTAGAATTGTGTTTACACTAATCTGTGCATTTCTACTGCAAAATTGATAGTAGAAATTCTGAAATTTCCTATTTCAAATTCCACCAGCATTATGAAGTCCATTTGCTCTGAATTTTGAGGTGGACAGCACTGAGTAGCTGCTGGTAATGTAAAGAACATTAGATGTTCCCTTAAAATACTTTTAGTGTACAGAGCTCAAGACTTACCTATCCAGTTCTCTTGGCACCACTGGGCAGTTGCTGGGCTGGCGTGTGTGTGGTCTTTAACTCATCATTTGTCACTGGTGGATTTGTTCTAAGCAGTGCTTCTTAGTGGCAGATGCTCTAATGAGAAATATATCTGCTTAAAACAGTGTTGAAAGCTATTAATGTTTTGAGCTGCTAATCTTGAACAAGGTTGCAATTTGAACTGAAGAACATTAATATCATACCTCAAAGTGAGTAATACTTGAGTCTTGGGGGTTTTAATCCATCTAAGGTCTGTGGTGAGTGATAGGGGTATTCAATCTACATTTATATGCTTTCTTCTGTACTGAATAAGACAACATCTGTTGGAAAGGATAGTTCCTTGTCATGTATTTTAAAAAGATATGCACAAGGGGACTGCATTTGTTTCAAGATCACTAAAAATCCTGATATTTCCTATTCTTGGAAAGCTTTTGAAAAAAATTTAGTGTACATTTGTGTTTAATTTCTGAAAATGCATTTAAAAATTAAAAAATTAAAACAGTCTTGCAAAAATTCTGAAAAATACTTTGTGCTACTGTATTAGCACCATACAGTTCATTGGTGTGATTAAATCTTCCAAATCCAAAGCAGTCCTCTGTGCAGCTAGTGGAGTAACTGATAACAGTAATATGCTGCTACCCTGTGATAGTATGGCCATAAATACACGCTATTCCAGCTGGTTTCATATTTAGTTACTGGCATTTGAAGTGCCTAGATTGCAGAATCCTGTGGTCTTACAGATTTTAGGCTGCAGCTTTTAGCTTGTAGCTTTTAAAATTTTAATGTCTGTCTTTTAGGGTCCAGCTTGATTCCTTTTATCCAGTTCCCTTCAAGCCAGCTTGTATCTCGGTTTATCCCCTTTTCCTTCCTGTTGGCATCTGTTTTAAATCTGCTCTTATATCTTCTCATTTCCCTCACTTCTGCTAGACTGAATCTTTTTTCTTGGGCACTGTACTCAGAATTTGGGTACAGATCATTTCACTGAATACCAGTCTCAGTGCACGGCAGCAAAACAGATCTCAGCTGCCATTGGGGGAGCAGAAGTAGAGGGTGTTGTCATCGCTCAATGAACACTGGTAATGTTCTCCGCAAGCCTCTTTTCATACAACGCAGCACATGGAAATGTTGAGAAAAGGGAGTGTGCTGTCAGCAAAAATAAGCTTTGGAAAAATTCCACTGCTTTCTAGCACATCATTCTTGAACATACTTAAACATGCTTTCTTTCTCTAACCTTTGTTCTGAAATCTTGGGCATATTTGGGTCGATTTTTCAAAGGTATTGCCTCATTGTTTTAAGAGCATCTACTGTGGGGAAAATCTGTCATCTTTGAACTATTTGTTTGACACAACTGAAAAATAGGGTCATTTGGTGGATTTTGGATTTGGCACCTTCAGCATGAGTATCTTTATGAGCTCCTTCTATAATCATGAAAAGGCTTTGTTATATTTGACAACTAGAAGTTTGCATCTTTGGATAGTCTTGCAGAGACAGTGAGAGCTGAGGCAGTGCAAGACTGATTCTTCCTTGTTCTTAAACATACATGTAGACAAGATTAGATCCATGAGGTAAGGTGGCTGGTGTTCATTCTATGTCTGACCTGTAGATATCAGTCTTTAAGAGGTCCTTTAAGACTCAGTCCATTGTTTTTTCCAAAACCTAGATTCATATTGAAGAAAACATCTGAAGCGGATGACTTTTAAAATGTCTTTTAGGTTTCTGCGTGTGAGTATAGCTGAACATACTATAACGAGCTTTTCAAGTGTAAATTTTTCTCTCTTTAGGTGAAATGGAAGAAATCAGATGTGAAGTTTGAAGACCGATTTGACAAGTATCTTGACCCATCTTTCTTTCAGCACAGAGTATGTATTGTTCTAAGACAACCTTACAAAATATCCCTTTGAAATGGTTGCTTTAGTTCAGAAGATGTCAGAGAATTTTTGGATGACATCTTTGAATTTTTGGATGTCTCGGGTGTTCTGGGACAATGAAACAGGCAGGTTTAGGACTGCAGGTTTTAAGTGATAGTTCTGTTGCTCAAATAGGATGGCTCCACTTTTTTTAGAGTGATTCAGTAAATGTGCAGGCAAGCTTCAAGCCTGCAGCAACTACAAGTTGGCGATACCAGTTGTGATGGTTTAAACCTGTGGTTGTAATCTCCTTAAGGGTAGTATGCTGAGCTATACTACTTTCTGAAATTAGAGGTTTTGGATTCTGTTCAGAGCTTGGTGAAAACTAGAAGATGTGCTTGTCAGAGGCAAAATAATGCTGCTGCACATTTTGGTCCTGTGCAAAGCAGTGGTTCCTTTGGCTTTTTGCCTGTGAGCATCTCTCTTGCTACTAAAACCTCTTCTGTAGGAAGGCAGTATCTTGTTGCCTTGGATGCTCCCTTACTAAGGGAGCATGTGCAGCCAGTTGTTCGAACTTTGCTGGTGCTTAACTAAGCTGTGATAACTTCGTCATGAGCAAGCCTGGCTGTTGAAAAGATTTATGTATGGTGTTTCACAAGCCAGTTTTACTGGGACTTTCTACAAATGTAGTGTTACTTACAATATGGGTTTATCGTTACTTAGCTAGTGCTGACAAGCTGTCTGCTAGGCAATGATTTATCCTTATTGGAACAAATTTGAAACACATTTACAGTTCTAAACCTTAGGGATGTGTTTTCTTTTTGTAGATTCACTGGTTTTCAATTTTCAATTCTTTTATGATGGTGATCTTTCTGGTTGGCCTAGTGTCTATGATATTAATGAGAACTTTGCGAAAAGATTATGCAAGATACAGCAAGGAGGAAGAAATGGATGATATGGTAAGATCTGCGTTCACGCTTTTTTAAATCTCTTTTTTTAAGGTTTATTGTTTTCTCTTCATATATTCATTGTGTTAGCAGCTCTGAACAGCTTTCTTCAGTGGGACAGAAAACTGCTTCATGTGCGTCTTGAAAGTGTCACTGGTTTTCTTTATAACATGCTTCTAGGTTGCAACCCAGAATTCTGTCTGTAGTCACTGTGTTAATGTTCGTATCCACACTTAGGTTAAATGAGGTCCATTTTGGGTGTGTAATAGAAACCTGTGTATAATTCTAAACACTTCAGAGGATTTTAGGGACAGGGAGGGAATCAGATAGATTTTACTGCATCATACATTCAGGTCGTAATTTTTTTTGTCTTCATAAGCATCTGAAAAGTAAACTTTTCTCCTAGATTTGATGTATTCAGGAGAGAAGACATACTTGCACTTGAAGTTGCTTTAATAAATCAAATCTTTAATTTATGCCTAGCTTGTGTGTTTGTCGTTAATTGTCATGACTAGACTTAAAATTTTTTTGTTGTTGTTCCTAGGACAGAGATCTAGGTGATGAGTATGGGTGGAAGCAGGTCCATGGAGATGTTTTTAGACCATCCAGTCATCCTCTAATATTTTCATCGCTTATTGGTTCTGGTTGTCAAATTTTTGCTGTGTCTCTCATAGTCATTGTTGTTGCAATGATAGAAGATTTATACACGGAGTAAGTATAATTGTGCCATGCCTTCCACATATGAATGCTTAAATGAACAAAATAATTACAAAAATGAATGTTCTAACTGGCCTGGAAAAAAGTGTTTGAGAGTCTTTAGTCTTTATCTTTAGATTAGATGTAGTATTGAGAAAGGATCTTTTAAGTTGTAATGAAACTTTGTACTACTCTTATCATGTGAGTTGGTCTCCTTTAATTTTACTCTTTTAATGCTTGCTTTTTACATGATTTATTATGAAACTAGTTTGTTGTTCTGCAGCATCATGGGTAGATTCTATAGGAAATAAATGTTAAAAGGTGCATATTTTACTACTGGTTTCATCTAGAGTGACAAGATATTACTATATTTCTTACCCTGTCTTCCCCACTGTGTCCTGTAAATACTGAAGTAGGAGTGTGCTGTGTTGTGAATAGTCTTGTCTACTGCTCACAATGCATTAAGCCAATCTTATCCACAAGCCTTTTTAGGAATGGGGATTTAATTTCTTAAGTTCTTTCTAACAGATAGTGCTCAGCCTGTATTGCACGTAAAACCTCCAGCAACGGGTGGGCTGTGGTCCTGACTGGAGTGAATTCATTTAAAACAAATAGTACTCCAGTTTAAATTTAACACACCACTTGTGGTTCACCTAGTTCTCTTCCTTTACCCTTTACCTGTTTGAGATTTTTGGTGTCCTGGATTGACTTCATCTGTTTCTGTAGTGATTGTATGTTTTGTATGTTGGATACTGGGGGGATTCCTCGTCCCCCCCCTCCCCCCAGTGCTTTGTTTTAAGCGATGACTGAAATTTCAAATCTCTGTTCTATTTCCACTTGAATATCACCTGTAACTATATTTTAACAAGTTGTAATACTTCTAATGTGCCACTAGAGAGAACTCTTGGTTTTGAATTTAGCTGCCTTTTAATGGTGTGTTTAAAAAGCCACTCTGTAGTATATCAGTATCTTGACATATTTTCATTTTTCATAGGGTGTTATTCCCCCCCTTGTGCTCCATGGTTACTTTTCTGGGTAGACTTACATATACATTTTTAATTGTACAGCTTGTCAGTCCTTTAAGGGAGGGAATGAAACCATTTCAGAATGTTTGTTCACTGTAGGGATGCTGTAAGTTAGTAATGGCAATTGTAAAATGTGTCAGAACAGTAATTTTTAAAAATAAATGTGCACTTAGTCTTTTATTGCAATAGGCCTTTATATCACTTTCAAAGTGAATTTAATTCTGGGTGCGTAATGGAACAGTTGACAAAATCTGGTGCAGACAATTCTTATGTTTAGGAAAATAGTGATGTGAGTGAAAAAGGCTGTAAAACAGAATTACAAGAATGATTGCCTGTCAGTGTTCTTCAGGTCTGTTAAAACTCTTAGGGATCATGCAGCTGATGCCAACTAAAAGTGTCTCAGTAAAATTTGGTCGTGTCAGCTATTAATGTATTAATGCTGGTTTGTGTTTTGAGAAGCTTTTCCATTAGAATATTTGAAACATAAGTGAGTAAGCTCAAGAATAGGAAATTTTGAGATAATTTTAGATAAACATCTGCTGGTCATTTTACAGGTAGCCTGGATGTACATGTTTGACTTAAGACTGTGCATGGCCTTCTGGGGTTTTGCATGTGTTTCTAAATTGGCTTAAGTTAGGAGAAGTATTAAAATTGGTTTCTGTCTAACTAGTAGCTTTCTAAAATGGAACTATTGCCTTTTTTTTTTTTGGAAGCAAATGTTAGCATAACACTGCTTTAGTGTGTGTGACCAGCAGGTATATTCGCTTAGTTCAATCCATGCAGTCATGGAAGCTGGTTGTACTAAAGATTACTTCTTTGAGTAGGCAGACGTCCGGTAATGGTTCATCAAAAGCCAAAATGCCAATAGTCTGGAATCTCTCAGAAGAGCTAATTTGAAAAGTACAGCAAGCTGGCTGAAGACCTTCTGCTTTTGCTATCAAAGAGTAGCAGAGGGACACGGGGGAAACAGTTCTATTCATGAATAACATTTATATCTTGCTATTCCTAGACATGATTTTTAAAAATGTATTTGGAGATGGCTTTTGTGATTTAAAATTATTAGCTTTGCCTGTAAAATTTTAGAAAAATTATACCAAAATGGGTACTCCAACATTTAATGAGGTGATAATTTAAAAATGACTAAACTCTTCTGATTGGACTACTCCATGCTGATTTGTGACTTCATTATAGTATTAATAGTTTCTAAATCAGGTCTTCTGATTTTCTGTAAGATGATCACTTTTGATCTTAAAAGTTAATTTCTGAGGGATGGCAGAAACATCATTCACAGTCTTAGTATATTTTTGTTAAACTGGCCTTTATATTAAGCAAGGAGTACCTTTTGTCTGCAATAGTTGAATCTTACACTTAATGTATGTCATGTAAATAGCTCAGGTCTTTATACAAAACGTACACACATCCAAATGTCAGAGTATTTTGATCAGAGGTGAGATTTTGTACTCCAGTGAAAATAAATGCATGTTAGAAAAGAAGGTAGTAAGTCGGAACTCTTTTTACCCAGATTGAATTAGACTTGGCCAGAAGCTTTGGATACAAACAGTTCTCATTCTTATGCAGATTTTACAATTTAAGCACTTTTAAATTTTTACATTACCTAAAAATATTAAATGTCTGCTTCTCCTAAATGTACATATTTTACTGTAATCTTTTGCTCTACTACTGTTTGTCTTTCTATGTCATTTACCAAAAAAATCCCTTCTTGTAGGAGAGGATCAATGCTCAGTACAGCTATATTTGTTTATGCTGCAACATCGCCAGTAAACGGGTATTTTGGAGGAAGCCTTTATGCTAGACAAGGAGGTAAATTGTTTTCATGTTTTGGCATTTTCATTGCATTGTTAAATGGAGAAGTTATTATTTTCTGATTTGCACCAGTATAGAAGTGTCCTCATGGAGTTAGACCATTCAGATGGAATCCATTAAATTCTTAATAAACGGAAAATATTTTGAGTATGTTTAACTTCCATATTATTTCCTATTCAGTATTGGCTGCATTTTCTAACTAAAGATAGCTGAAGTCTTTGGTTAATTTAAAAGTAATAAGAGCTAAAGAACTGTTAACAGTTGTATCTTGTGAATTGCTTGTTATACTCTTGTATATAATTGTTTGACTCATGACATCCAGAGAGTGTAATAGTCTCTTCCTCTTCTGTAACATGCTGTTAAACAGCTCATGTCATGACTCCTACATAGCCCTCCTCTGTAGGTACCAGGAGGGCTATGTTTGCTAACACAGAAAGGATGAGTATACAGTACTTACTAGACCATTAACTGTGGATGGGGAAAACTGTTTATAGCATCTTTTTCTACTTTTTAGTATGTGCTTTGCTTTATACTTAGCAAGTTCAAAATGAGTATCAGTAGAGAGCAGCAGCCAAATAAAATTGACATAACAGATTTGGACAGGCTGTCTTCAGGTGCCTCCCCACTACGCCTCTGAGTTATGACCAGTTACATCCTCACAGTCCGCTAGCTTCATCCGTTCCCTATGCTGTAATAAAAGAGCAATCAATATCTATTGTCTTCTATAGTGCTTTAGGAAAAATCTGGTAAGTTCGCAAAAGAACTTAACAGTGTATCTTATGCATATCTTTTTAGCACAACATACTTGTTAGTATTCAGTCTCAACTGCACTTTAATCTACTCTGAGTTTGGAGGTTAGATGTTTCTTTTCATGTGGCTTGGGTATAAACCTAGTGATTTGTTTACCTAGTGAACAGATCTAGGTAAATTAGGGTTGCTGTTCTAAAATGTCCCATGCTGTATAGTTGAGCCACATTTGCATTTTTTTTTCTACAGATCAAACACGTAAACTGTAAAAATGCTGAATATTTTGGTCCATGGTGGAAATACCTATGATGGTCCAGAAAAGCATATGCTAGTTTTCTGACTGTTTTTTACTTAGTGCGTATTACAGATGCATCTATGGTGTATTAAATTTAAATATAGACAGTATTTAAGAGCATTGAAAGTAAAGGGAATACAGACAGTGAAAATTCTTAAGGTATGGCCCAAGAGGGATTTTTTGAGCTCCTCAGGGAGCTCTAAACTTAGTAATAACTGCTAACGAGTGTTGCTGTTCCCTTTATGCCCGGGGTTTAGAAATCGCTTTCCTTCTACCTTTTCTGCTGTTGAAGATGTCTGAGTTCAATTGTGCCGTATATTAAATGCATTTTGCTTTATATCAGGGATAGCTGGTTCCTTAATGCATCCTGAATGTATGGAGTCGGTTTAGTTGGGTCAAGACAACCCAGAGCAGGTGCTGCCTGAAAGCATCTGTAGCGCTGAGTTGTCCCGGGAGCGGTGCTGAGCTCTTGTGCTCTCAGGATGGGAGCAGGCTCTGCACAGGGCCAGCTCTGCCATCTCTGTCTCTACTAATCTGCAGGTTACATATACACTATGTTTCGTACCCCGGTTTCTTTGGCCAGCTTAGTCAGCATATGCTGTTCTTCAGCCGAAATGTTCTCACACTGTATCCCTTTTCCTGTCTTTTCACCTGGCCTAATAAGTCGGTTAATGTGCTGCATCTTGTGAGTTGCCAGGAGTCAAATGAAACTGTTAGTTGTTTCTTGGCTCTTGTATTGATGTAGCATGTTGTTACTTAATTCTTTCACCGTTTTCGGGGAGAAGTCATCAAACACCTAAATTCTGGAGAGCTTGCTGATAGCTTTTTAAACAAAATACACTGTGTCTCACCAGTCCCATTGGAATGTCCCTTTTTACAGGAAGGCGATGGATAAAGCAGATGTTCATTGGAGCCTTCCTTATTCCAGCAATGGTGTGTGGAACTGCCTTCTTCATTAACTTCATTGCCATCTATTATCATGCTTCAAGAGCTATACCCTTTGGAACCATGGTGAGTCATTTTAGTGGAGAATTTAAACACCACTGTAGACACAGCAAAACTACCTTTTAGTCTGAACAAAATTGTGAGTCATAGCTTTAGCTTCCTAGTTAGAAATTTATTCTGGGAGGGTTTTAAGGTGCTTCAGGTATAATTTGTTTTAATCACGATAGCAACAGCTGCTGGATGCCAACAACAGTCTGCTTAAAATGGCACTTCTGCTTTGTATTCAAGCTTAGTGTTGTAACAATACGGGAAGTTAGCAACTTGAATTTTCTTCTGGGTGGCGAATGCAAACTGGTTCTAAGCTAAAATGCAATACAAAAGGATTCCAAGTGAAAGCTACTTCCAAATCACTGTAGTCAAGCAGAAAAAATAAAAATAAAAGATCAGCCAACAATATGAGATGAGACATCCTGAGGAGATCTGGCTTTACAAAAATGAATCACTGTTTTCACTTTGTGAAGTGGTATTTAGTATCCAGTTATGGTCTTGTGTCTGTGTATTTACCATGTCACTTGAAAAACAATGCTGGTTGAATTATTTTCTCATTTAATCATGATGACTTTTCTTGTTTCTGGTGGCTTTTGTCAGGATTTTGTTTCTTATCATGGCCCTTTCAAGTAACCTCAAATAACCCTGTGAATACAATGTAGGAAATAATCACTTGGCACTTTGGCAGAACTTCTGTTTGAGCTTGCAAGGGGTATTACTTGAGAGCAGAATTTTTTTAAATATGCAGCATAAAATTGCTTTTTCTAATTTTATGCAGTAGCGCTGTTAACTTTAAAAGAATCTTAATACAGGAAGGCTTGTTTTCTTTTCAATATCTGTAGCAAATCTCAGTTTTTAACCTTTTTTTTTTTTTTATATAGCTCCCTTTGCATATCAGTTTTTGTGATATGTTAAATTGCTCGGGCTATTCAGAGATGCTTGAGTAGCCTTGGATTTCTTCTTAGTTTAAATCTACAACAAAATGAAGCTTAGTATCCCAAGTTTGGTCTTATAAATTGTATTATTTGGGATATAATTGAATTCGGTATGTGACTGAAAAAATTCTTATGAACACATTGTTAATGAATGAATGTGGTAGAAATCATAAATGCTAATAAAGAGAGAGACAATTCTCAGTTTCAGGGAGGCTTTCAATAATTTTCTACTGATGGAGGAGTCATTACTTTACATGTACATTGCTGATTCTAGTCACCTCCTTAGTAGGTATTTTCAATGCATGCCTAAATACCAACTTTTTACATTGAATTCATTGTTATATAAACACTAAATATAATATCGAGCTAAACATGTTTATGAACTGTTCACTTATTTTTTCTGGTTTTCTTCTTCAAGAAATTAGACTAAAATTCTATCTTTGGATATGTTTGTATTAGTCGGTCAGTGCCCCAAAGGAATATTGTATTGTCTTTTCTTTCCTAAGCTAGCAGCCATATACCACACTGTCAGAAAAGTTTACAACATTGATCTTTGATATGTGGAAACAGGCTCTGTTTTCTGCTGAGCAGTCATTTATGATACCACATTTCTCACTTGTATTCCCATTTGGAGGTCAGGAATGCTGAGGGAAGGGAATTCCACCTGTGCTGAAGTTTGTCTTGTAAATCTGTTTAACTGATTTGTATTTTAAGATGTTGGAAACATGTACATGCAAAAGCAAATAGGAATATAAATCTTCAGGGGTCACTTAATCAGGATGTTAGGACTCTTTATACACAGCAATTTTAATGATCTCAAGGTTTTATGAACGTGTTTGAGTCATTATGACTGTGGCAATAAAACTTCGGTGGAGTTAGCAGACTTTTAGTAGGAGCAGGTTATGAATCGGAAACTTCATCAGAATAAGCAATGCTCTGATGACTTCAAATCAACTAATGAAGCTGGTTTGTAGAAGGAAATGAAAATTGTTTGAAATTACCATGTTATGCTTCAGGTTGAAGTCCCCAGGAAGCCCTCTGGCTTTATGGATGATACCTTTGTGTCTTTCCACCTTTGTTTTCAGTGTAGAGAAGCTTCCAGAATTCTCTAGTGCAAACTTGCTGCTGCTTTCTTGGGGAAATAAAACCTCTGCCATCTAAACATACTAGAACACAGAAATTACTTCTTTTATGCTGGCATGTCTTGAAACCACCCTCCTTGATTTAAATTGCTGGCAAGCATTACCACCTCTCCTTGACTACTGAAAATCTGGAAAAAGCAAAAACCAAGTTGCTGATAAAAGTCTCTGAGCTTGAAGATTGCTAAGAGGCTATGCTTAAATAAGACATCCTGTGCCTTGCCCATTTTGCATTGCCACTTACCAGTGAACCGCTAAGTAGTCTCCTCTCTGTGACTCAATTCCTCCCTCCAGACAGATTTTTCTATCGAATGTAGGCAAGGAAAGCCGATAGTGTCAAAGGCAAGACATCCAAGCTAACGCACAGCTGCTGCATCTTTGATCTACATGGTTTCTGCTCTTCCACAATTTGTCTTGAAATGCTCAAATTGATTGGGCTCTTCAGGACCTTCATGTACCTCGCTGTCATTGCAGTCTGTTTTGAACTTCAAAGCTTCGTTCACTTTGTATATCTCATTCCCGATGTCTGGGATCTCCTCGAAGATGTGGCAGGGAAGATCCAAAGCTTGTTTCTGAAATGGTTCTTCAGTCTTGGGACTCTGCCTTTAGCCCTTTTGGATATACATGCAAGCCATCTACCTATACTGTGACAAACCTTCTGTAGTGAAATACACAATGAGCCTGAACAAAGGCTTCTTCTCTTCCCTGGGATATCTTTCAGCTGCCCTTCCCTTCAAATGCAATAAAAAATGTGACAGATTTATTCAAATATGAGAGCTTTTTAAAACTTAATGGTTTAAAGCCTGCAATTCCCTAAGCATATGATGGAAATACAGAAGCCTAGGCTTTTTCTCTCGTCTCTTCACCTTTATAGAAATGCAGTGGGTACTGTTCAATTCTTTGTTCTTTTGGAGCCCAAATTTGATTTTTTGGAGTATTTTGTTTATTATATCCTGTTACTGAGAAACAGAGTTCTTCTGAAGGTGGTGTACACCTTGACTTACCTTCTGTTGATTTTTGTCAGTCTTTTCGGTGTATTTATCAATCGTCTTTCTATTTTGTTTTGTTTAAATTATATGCAAAAAATAGAGCATGGAGCAATTAAAAAGAATTTTAAATAATGGCAAGTGAAGTGACCTCTCCATATACATTTATGAGAAGTGTAGTGGTAGTTCTATGCAGAAATACTAAGTAATGCAGAATTTCTACAGAGTACAGCATGATTGAATTTGAAGCGACTGTCTTAATTCTGGCATTTCATAGGTTGTGACTGCTTACATTGTTCTCTGTGTGATACATAATTTAAAGATTTCCATTAAGGCTACTGTGACTAGTGTAATATTCTGACTGCAGAATCCATGCAGTGTCTATTAAACTGTTTCAGATGTACCATTTTTGTTTTGTTTGAGCAGTACACTCATGTGTGGCTAACATTTCCAGTATGCATTTTTAATGCTTTAATTAAATAAGATTACACACACTGAATTTTTCTGGGGATCGAGATCCTAGTGTTTGTGTCTTTTATACTTTGTTTAAACTAGAAAAAAGTGTTTCCTCCAACAGATAGCTTAATCCAGGCTGCAGCCATCCCTGACAGCTTTAAGTTGATATGAGTATTGGCTGCCACTGAAAAAGGAGGACCTGGTAGCACCAAAGATTTTCATGCCTTGAGCCAGTTAAGGAAATACACCTGGCTAAAAATAGAAAAAAATCTAGTTGTATACATTCAGCAGGGTGCTTCCTCAGATTGCTTGAAAGTGACTGTGAAACCCTTGGTCAAAAACCTCATTTTTGCTGAAAATAGACACAGCTTAATGCTTCTGCCTAAATTTTCAACAGTTCAATTTATTACCCAAAGCAGCACCCTAGATTAGCAACTTAGCTGTAATAAAATGAATAACACTTTATTTTGAAGCCTTCTATTGTTTTCTTGTTCTGTGTAATGTTTGGGCACATGATGTGCAGAAAACTGTTTCACTGTACAGATTCAGTAACCTCTGTACGGGGGGAGAGTCTCATGACTGAGAGTGCAGTTTTGGTAGCTGACAGGAAAGATCAAGCTGCTGCTTTGACAGTTAATTTTTATTGCTTTTCTCCCTTGTGCATTAAGCAGTCAACGCACCACAGCCTGCCAGTAGCTGTTTAATATTAGATATGCTCATAAAAATTTTAATTATCACCTTTGAATGAAGTTTAATCTACAGTTGTCAGAAAATATGAAACACATGGCACTAGAACATAAATTATATCCCTCTTGACAATGTTTCCTTTCAAATAAGGAAAACTGAATCCTGCACATTCAGTCAAGGGCAGTAGAATATTCTTTCCCCATCGAAACAAAACACAAAGGGGTTAGAAAGAACGCAGGCTTGGTGGGGTTGATGATCTCTTCTATGGCAACTAAAACCTGCAAACTAAATCAGATGCTTGTGTATAAATAATATATTTTGTACAACAAAAATGCAACGGTCGAAATAGGTATGTTTTAATGTACTGGCTTGGTAGAAAAACTCATGTAATTTGTCTTCAGACATATGTATTACAGGGAGCGTGTGCTTGTTTGCTTGATGGAAAACTGGGTTTGTAGATGTAGTAGATTTACCTGTTTGCATAATTTGTGGTTTCTGAAGTGGTAGTTAAAACTGTTCTCTGAATTCCTCTTGGCTGATGTTACAGTTATACTTGTCTTACAAGTCTCACTAAGACCTAACTTTCTTATCTCTGCCTGTCACGCAACAGGTATTGTTGGGGTTTTGGGGTCTTTTAGTATGTTACCAGTGACCTCTGTGGGGAGGCACTTCTGCAGGAGGGCAGAGCATGTGCGTGTGTTCGTTTCCTCTTACCAGTGAAATGGAGGCTGGTAAGTGCTTGAGCCACTTTTGCCATTATAATCTCATTCTCCAAAACCTTTGAGGCAGAAATCTCATAGCTTCATCTCTGTTTCAGTTAAGGCACTTGTGTACACTAGTGCCCTGTGTTTGCTTCAGTTTGGATTTAAACTCTAGGTTTAGGCATTGCCCAGCCTGCATCATCACTGCCCTTGCCATCTGTGGCAACAGGCACTACCTGTTCAGTTTGGGACAGAGGCATGTCTTCACCTCGGATCTGAAATTAAAAGGAACATGCCTGGAAGGGCAGAAGCTAGAAAAGCCAGTTGTCTCCAGTCATCTCTCACATCTAGAGAAGACTATTACTGCCAAGAATGAAGAAAGTAATTTTCAGCAAGCATCAGTCTGAGCAGGTAGACTGCCCTGGAGTCAGACAGTGAGTTGAAAGCAAGAAAGAGGATGCTACTGAGGTCAGCACAGTGCGTGCCAATTCTAACCAGCATCAGTTGTGTTGGTCAACCTACTAAGACCAGCAGGTTGCTGTCACCAGTGTGGGGTTATCTCAGAAGACAGAACATTCACGTCTTTATCAGCTTATACAGCTTATCAGAGGCAGGGGGAAGTGGGAGGGATTCCTGAGCCTGCACTATGGTCCGTTCTTGCTTGCTTAGTTGGGCCTCCATTGCACTGCAAAGTCATCTCAGATAAATTTTAGACTCTTGAATGCCCTCAGGAAAAAATGCACTTCAGTTCCAGCTGTCCTCAAAACACAGCATAGCATTAAGACAGGCAGTTCACTGTTTAACAAAATGTTGACTTTACCTAATGCTGCTTACTAGATTTCACTGAAGATGCTAGCTGTTCTGTCTGAAATGAGTTCATTTTTCAGCCAAATGGTTAATAGAATGGGAGGTATTACAACATTATCAATCATGGCTTGACTGAACTGCTGGTGAAGTCACAAGCACTCAGATTTTCTGACAGATGCCAGTTACAAGCGTACTGGGGACAGGTTGGCAGTACTTACTGAAGCCATTATTCAAGAAACTTTGGTCTGTTTCAGCTTGTTTTATGCAGAGAAACATTTCAGATTTCAGAGCTGCTGCTGAGTCAGTCTCCCAGACAACAGCCAAGCCCTGTGGGAACAAGTTGGGCCTTCTCCTTGCCCACCTGATTTGATGCCATTCAGCTCTGCAGTTGGTGTCAGTAGAATGAGCACTAGAATGCTGCTGACTGCCTTTCTTCATCTAGGAGTTTGCCAGCTAATCAGTAATTAGGCCTGAATGCCCCTTGCTTGGTTCCTTGTCCAAGGTTATATCCTTTCCATGTGGATTCCCTATGGTAGATGCGTTTTGCAAGATGGACAGTTACAAGCTACTAAGTTTTGTTCCAGGTGAGCTTGGAACCCAAGGCTGTTCTCGACAGTTTCTTTCTGCAGTAAAGCAGCTGATTCAGTTTCTACCACTATCCCTCGTCAGGGGTAATTTCCAAGATAAAGAAATGAAGCTACAGACACCTTGATAACTGCCCTGTAAAAGACAGTTGTGGCTGGATGAGCAATAAGGATGCCCTTTCACACTGCCTGTATCTGAGCTTCCTGCCCCGGCCAGGTTTGAAACCTCCCTGCTGGAGCGCCACAGAGCAGCATGGACAGGGGCCACCCAACACCCCTGGAGGTCCTTGCACAGGCAGGAAGCAGAGCAAGCTCTTCTTGGAAATGGAAATGGTTTCAATATGGTCAGCTCGGAAATTCTTTGGATCCTGTCCAGACCTTAATTCTTGAATGTCTCTTCTATCCACTGCACTTCAAACAAGCTGGGACTTTTTGGTCAGGATTTTAGTAAATGTAGGACTCAAGATGTTCTACTTTGGTGTTTCTGATACTTTCTGATACTTTTCTCTGAAAATTCTCAGCTGCTTATTCTTTTAGACTGAGGAGGTTTCAAGTGCAGGACCTGCATCCATTAAGTGAGTTAGTTGTATACTTTTGCAATTTATTCTTAGGCGACCTCAGTGTCCTACCTTAGACACTACGCTTGATTACCTTTGTTTTTTCCAGTAATGGAAGATAAATGGGAGATACGAAAGATGTATTACTTGTGTAAAATCTGCTTTATTATTGGCAAGTATAAATACTGCTTAGCTTTTCCTTATTTACCATTGACGCTTCATATTTTAGTGGCTCATGATGTAATTTTTTAATAACCTCTCCCCAGAGATACACAAAGCAGTCTGGACAGTGCTTCTGCTTGTTGACCACCTGTTTGGTGTACCCCTTGCGTGAAGGCTTGCTCCATCCAACCCCAGGCAACGTTTTCCATTTACATCTGGCCTAGGCTAGTAATGGTATGCAAGTCAGTAATAGAGGGATAACCCACTGGCTTTTGTCAGATATTGCCTTAAACTCATGTGATTGACTTAATGCTAAGTTTGTATTGAGCTAATGTAGTGCACCTCCTCATCTCATGAAGCCTAGTGGTTCTTGCTTGTCAGCTGCTTGCAGTAGATTTCCATGGATATGACATAGGTGAACAGCTTTTATCTGTCCTGGAGTAACTGCGTCTTAAACAAGTCAGTGTGGCTCTTAGACCTGATCCTCTGTCCATTGTTTTGGATTAATCTGCTACCATGGACTGCGTCTTCATGGGGTGAAGGAGGAATATAGCTTCTTTGCTCAGGAAGCACCAGGGTGTACACAGAGCCTCAGGCAACAGTGCTTTTAAAAGGCAGTATTTTCATATGTTTGCATAGAGAAGGTCACAGGGCCAATATTCTGAACTACGATTATTGCATTACAGGCAACTGTTCTGTCTTTAATTACCAATATACCAAGTTAACAAACTGTCTAATGCTAATTAATTTTGTGCTAAAGAGTTATGAGTACAGAATATCTTGCTAAATGCTTTAAATGTTCCTGTTTCGGAAGATAAAAATATGTTGTCTTCAAGGAATAGCAAAAGTAGAGCTACCTACATAGGCTGGAAAAAAGATGATTTGTGGTAAAATTTTAGGGAGGCTGGAACATTGGAAAGAGCTGGAACATTAGCTTGACATCACTGCATTGTGCATAAACGTAATCTCTATATGTAAGTAGGGCCGTTGTGGTTCTAAATTGTGTATCTCTGCATACCGGTGGTCACTCATATCTTTGGCAGTCTGTGTTCTTAATTACCTGGTTGGTGGATAGTGGAGAAAATTGAACCCAAAATTTTGATTGGTAGCATTCTGACATGGCTTTGCAATTCTTGTTTGAGTTTCTTTTTTGTATTGGATTAAAAATGTTGCACCCAGCAGTTGTAGTTTTGTATGCAACTGCCTAACTGCTAGATATTAACCCCCAGGGATGGTATACTCTGCAAAAGTTTAAGAGAAGCTGACAAAATTTTCTATGATGAAGTACCATGAAGACTTCTATTTCATTTCTTTGCAATGTATTGAGTATAATGATTAGATGAAAACAATAAAAAAAATCTGTAATGGTTCTGTTCTCTGAATTGATGCAAGAAAATATACTTAATAATGTTTATTGGGAAGTTTCTCAGGAAATAAATATTTCCATTTGATAAAATCGATGTATATTGACTAATGCTTCATAACTAGGAGTATGATTCTACAGCAATAACTACTAAGGACTGATATATACGGAGTGGGTTGGTTGTCTTCTTTTGTCGTCTTATACCTTTTTATAAAAAATTATTATTTTACTTTTTGCTTACAGGTGGCAGTGTGCTGTATTTGTTTCTTTGTCATTCTTCCATTGAACCTTGTTGGTACAATTCTTGGCCGAAATCTGTCAGGACAGCCTAATTTTCCATGTCGTGTCAATGCAGTGCCTCGTCCCATACCAGAGAAAAAATGGTAAAGACAAGCATGCATATTAACTAGATGGATTCACTTCAGTACATTCAAAGTGACTTTTCAGATTTCATCATTAAAAGTTTTTCTAGAATAATTTTTTTTATTTAAATTGAGTTGTGTCTAAAAGAACATGTCTATTGACATTTCTTTAATGTGATTTTTCTATTGAATAAAAACACCAAGTACGGTTAATGGCTAATAGTTGTAGCAGATTTTACAGTCCTGGATCACTGATTCACATTTGGCCTGAAACGCTCTTCAGTCTCTTATGTAAAAGGAATGGTCCCAACCCAGTTCTTGTATGGGTGTCTTGAAATTAAACCTTTCCTCTTCAGTTAATGCCTCTTACAGATTTAGGATTGAATGTGCCTTGGAGACAGAACTGTTCTGTTTAATGGTCTCCATGTACAAGCTGAGACATATTTGCAGGGTGATGGTGGGGAGAAGCTTGCAATGCTGTTCCCAATTCTGCACTTTTGTTAATGGCACAGAGCCTAAAATACTCCAGGTATACGGTTTGAATTGTGAATAAACCTTTATTATTTTTGAAGTGAATATAAAGGGGTGGGTGCCTAGTCTCAAAAAAGTAGACTTGGGTTTTTGGAAAATAGTGAATGCAGTCACTTTTTCCTATTAATTTAATTCTGAGATGGAAGCAGCAAGCTATGGAAATGAAAATATCCTCAGAGGATTTTTTTAAATAGATTTTTCTTGCTTTCCCTGTTCAGAGGAATGGAACAGACAAAGTGAAGGGAGCACTGAAACGTGTATGCCTGTGATATCCAGGAAGTGCAGCACACTTAGTTTCTTGTTAGTGGTGGGTTGTTCAGCTCAGATGCTAGGATTTGATTTATATTGTGACCTGTATCTTGGGAATCCGATGGATTTTTCTGGAATAGCATGACAGATAACTAAGATACTTCTCTTGAAGATGATGAAATTCCACACTGTCAACATAGACAAGTCTCCCTATAAATAATAAAAGAAGCTGCAAATTAAATCACTGGTTACTAGCTAGATTCAGCATCATAGCAAGTACTACACAGAGGTCACCTTTAGTAAATTACAGTATTATCTAGAGGTAGCTGAGTATTAATTTTTGACCATAGGCTCCTGACTCAGTATGGTATTAAAAATAAACACTGGTTCTTAATTATATAACCATTACCCTGCAAAATTTTCTTTTGTGCTTTTTGCTGTATTTGTAGCCATCAACAGCACTGAGTTTTCACTGCCTTCATTCAAGGCTAGTGGATGTTATGGGGTTTGATTGCTTAGGCCCTTTTTGGGCAAGAAAGATTCTTTCTGTAGCCTTTAAGGCTGGTTAGATGCCTAACCTTACGCCTGTAGGTGATAGGCATGAACCTTACGTTTTGTTTCAGTTTTCCCCAAGAATAACTTCTTCTATCCATACACATGATGTCTTGGCAGGAATCTTCTTTCTAATATGCTGGTATGAGACAGAAATGTTCTTGTTAGCATGCTTTTTAAATAATTCTCTGTGGTATATGAATGATCTTGTTAATATATTTATAAATGAAAGATTAAAATTGTCCCTAAATGAATCTTAATATCTTTCAGGTTCATGGAACCAGCTGTTATTGTTTGCCTAGGTGGGATCCTCCCTTTTGGATCAATTTTTATTGAAATGTGAGTATGTCAGCTATTTGCTAATTTGATTAAAAAGTATAATAATTTAAGTTCAATTGCATTTTGGTTTTGAAATAAAATATTTTGTTTACCATCTTCAGGTATTTCATTTTTACTTCATTCTGGGCTTACAAGATCTACTACGTTTATGGCTTTATGATGTTGGTTCTGGTTATCCTCTGCATTGTGACAGTTTGTGTGACTATCGTTTGTACGTATTTCCTGCTAAACGCAGAGGATTACAGGTGGTAAGTATGGCATTATTTGCATAGTTAACCAGATTGTGAGAGTTTTATAGAAAAACAATATACTTCAGTCTAGATGGGTCTTTTCAAAGTGTCCCGTGTCCAGATTTTAGCTATAGGGAATAAAAGCAGTTCTTGGATCCTTTCTGTACAGGAGCTTTCTGTGTGTACGTGCATCTGTGCGTGCATGTATGTATGTATATATAAAAAAAAAAAGTCAAGGCACACAGGAATAGGAAGAAGGATCATCACTTGCTATCAGTGGTAGCTGTTGCCATAGAAGCTTTTGTCACTTATAGCGGACAACGTGTAGATGTTGTTAAATACATCTGTAGAACCAGTACACTTTATTTCCAGGGTAAGGTTTTAGCACATTTTGCATCTTCTTGGGAAGCCTTTTGGTCAGATACATGATGGACATGCATGTTTACTTTCAGGCAATGGACAAGCTTTCTTTCTGCGGCATCAACTGCGATATATGTTTACATGTACTCCTTTTACTACTACTTTTTCAAGACAAAGTAAGTGATAGTTTTCTTGCTTGAATACCAGGTTACCATATTGCCAAATTAGTTTATTGAGAAAAACTGGGGAAAATACCTAGCATAAATTCCTATCTTTCTTTTTCAGGATGTATGGCTTGTTTCAAACATCATTTTACTTTGGTTATATGGCAGTATTTAGCACAGCTTTGGGAATAATGTGTGGTAAGTTTCAAATATATTGACAGTTTTCTATCAGAATTTTTCAGACTGTCATGTTTCTGATTTTAGCTCTGTGGTTTTGGTGGTGGAGTGTGTACGTCTGCAAGATCTGCTCAAAAAAGCTTACAGTCTTTAAAAAGAATCTTAAAGAGTTCTGTGCTTATACTTGGCTCCTACCTAATATAGGAGATGTCTGTGTATTGTGTCTTCTGATAGGAAGATTATGTACTGTGCAGAGAATTTCACACTCAGTGCATGCTTGAAAGACTCAATATTTGGCAAGAAATTCTGCAAAATAAGTTCAAAATTGAGTCCATGCTAGCATTTTGTTTTGGAGTTTTTACTGTTGCCCCAAGACAAGGAGCTAGGTACACCCATTCAGGCATCAATGGTATTGCAATACTGAAGACCCTACCATCTGTATCTTGTGGCATGTATATATGAGGGTGACCAGAACAGAAAGGACTGACACTTCAGGATAGCATTGGAGAAATAAGTATTGGAATATTCACAGGTGAGGAGAGTGCAGAGTGCTCCTCTGTGCAGCTGGATTTCATTGCTTTTTGAGAAACTGTTTTGACAGATGTTTAGAAAAAGATACGGCACTCCTCAGCATGCAGGTCATCTGATAAAGTCAGATATACTTGTTTACCTGTTAGCTTTATTTTTATCCTTTGCTTTATGACTTTCAGAAAGTGCTGCTTGGTTCTTCTGCACTTTCCTCTGATGTTACTTGGTTTTTATGTGTGATCCTTATTTAATACTTTTCTCCTTAGTAGTGAATGAATAGTCCTGTAGACTCTAGCAGAAGGATTTCTTTGAGTTAGGTGTTTGAGACACATGATGTCTTACAGGAACTTACTTTCTGTAAAGTATATGTTTCTTGATATCCCAAGAGGGTGATTTCACAATGCTTTATAAAAAGGGGAGGGGAATCATCTCTTAACTGCTGAGGACCTGTTCCCCTTTTCTCTCATATACAATCTAATCTTGCTTCATCAGGTTCTTGGCACATTTCAAGACTTCCCTGCTGTTCTGGTGGTCTTCCGGCCATTTTTTTCTTTAATAGGCTTATACTTTTCAGCTCTAATCTTTTCTTTTTAAAGTGCTCAGGCTAGTATTGATTAAAATGTCTATGATGCAGAAGCCAAGCTTGCCCACCCGTTTCTGTAATTAAAATGTTTTTTAAAACATGGAAAAGGAAGATTGTCGAATGCTTTCTTGTCATGGTAGGACACTACTTGATGGAATATTAGAGTAAAATCCAAATTTATTCAAAATCAGAAAATACTTTAACACACTAAATTTCCACAGCTCTATTGAGATTTCTTTTTGTCTTTTTAACTGTGTTGGAAGAGAAGCTGTGAGATTCCTTTTTACTGAGAACTCCCATTTTCAGCATGTGGAGGGAAGAAAAAAAATCCCCTGTCAAAAAGCATTTGTCTAGGGAACTTGCTGCCATTGAGGTCTAACAAAGACATTTGTGTTAAGAGAATTGTGCAGTGTGCATGCTACTGACTGTACGTCTCCTGTGAAAAGTGCGTAGAGCCCGTGCTTTGGATGCTCATGCAAATGGGTGTGTTCAGTATCACACAGTTGGATATGAGACAAGCTAGTTAGGGTCCAAGGCAGCCACAGGGAAACTCTCTGTAGGCTTGTATCATCCAGCTCTGGTTTTAGTGCCCTGACAATGCCTAGTGAACTCAAATCCCACACGTAGTGGGATGCTTTGATCCACAAAGTCTGCTGCCCTCTGCAGAGCATCTAAGTTCTGGGACTGGACAGTAGGGAGCCCATGAGAACTTCCAAACCTTTTGAGCTCCTCGTGCTTCCCTCTGAGTGACAGAAAAGAATAAACCTTATTCCCTAACTCCGTGGATGGCTTAGGAGCAAGGTAGTATAGAAAGGCCTCTTGCAACCACACTTCAGCATCCAGATAAATACTGTAAATATGATTGAAGGGCTTTTTAAAAAAATTCTGTGCTTAAAAAAGTCACAGATGTAGTAAGTGTTAATTGGTTGGAAGTAATAGATGGGAATTAATCTTTCTCTGTTTGTGGTTGCTCTTCCTCACTATTTTGATTTTTCTCTATTTAAAAGCTTGTTGTTCTGCCGAAATATGCTTGCAGTCTATTTCTGCTAAAGCTATATAGGCCATAATCAAGTTAAAACACCTTATCAGATGATATTTAAAATAAATAAATAAAATTATTCCCTTTACTATGGATTTTTTGATTCAAATGAGCCAACTGTCCTGCATTTGTTTCAGGAGGGACATTCTTTAGTTACCAGCATCTAGGGTTTCCCCCTCTCCGCCCCATGTTTTATTCAATGCCTGTGAAGTAGCCTTGAGGCTTAACCCCTGCCTTGGGTATTGGCCATTAGTGGCCTTCATGGATAAGGCTCCTGTGATTCAGAATAGGTTATGATTTGTGTATGGGGTTGCAAGCTTGTGGTTTCATGTGACTGCCACTCTCCTCCCCCTCACTTCCATCTCATGCACACATTCTCTAGATCCCAAATGAAACACAATTAGTGCTTTGTTGTCCCAAATCTCTGTGATATCTGGCATCACATCACTAGAGAAACCCTCAGAGAACAAGTTCTGGAATGTGCCTGAATTTAGCAACTAAAATGGGCATTGGATCTGTTGGCAGTGTCTGCTTTAACAGGCAAAACATGATGAGTCTTAAAACAGGAGTCCAGTGCCATTATTCTGTCTATTTACTGCATAAGACAGAAGGTGAGTTTCTTGACAGGCTACGGAAAAATCTGCGTGTGCTCCCATATGACTCTAAGCTCGCATCACCTCCTCTGCACAGCCCGTGCTTGGGTCTGTCAGAATGCTGTACTGATGGCTCCTTGAACTGCCAGGCCTTTTCTTCTGCTGCATCCTCAGCACACTTAATGCTTGCAAGCAGCAACCTGATCTTGTGTGTGCTGTATTTTTCATCAAACTCTACTTTGTCCAAGTTAGCAATACAAATCCCTCATTTGCTGGCCAGTGGAATGGTTGTCATGATATTTATACAGCTTGAAATGCTGTGCGACACAGAGGCTGACTCCACAGGCTCTTTACTACACCGATAGTATTGGAACAATGCATCAGGTTTGCCTTGTGCAGATTTCCTGATTAGATGTGAATGTTGGGCTTTTGGGGGTCTAAACCCCAAAATTCTGTGTGAGTTTAATGGCTGACCTCATGAATTATCTGAGCAGTCCCCAGGATTTAAAGAACTCTCCAAGCTCTAAATAAATCTATGTTCAGCAATGCTAGCTGCAAGTCTGTACGGCCTTAACTTCTAAAGGCAAAAAAACCTTTATTTTTCTTGAAAAATGAAGTTTTGGCAGAAATTTTTTTAGCATTTGTTAGGCTTTTGTATTTCACATGTCTTACGCAAGTCTGGTGCATCCCAGATCACTGAAAATGTTGTTTCATGCTTTGTTCTGGGCTTTTCTTTGTTGCTTCAGGGAGGCAAAAATACTGGTTTAGAGTCCATTCTTCACTGAGCATCCAAGTGATTGATGTTAGGAGTTCTCTTATCTGTACTGAGTTATAGGCCCTCACTTCTCTATCCTTTTCTTCCCACATTTTATGATGTGTTATTCTGGCAGTCTGACAGCAGTTCTCTCTAATTCTTGCTTGATTTTTCAACTTCTAACCCGAGAGCCAAATTTACTTCCAGAAGGCTGATTTACTATCATTTTGCTTGGAAAAGGTGAAGGAGAAGCACTGGGGTGTTGTCTTAGGATATTCCCTGCTGATATCCTAAGACAACAGTATTTACTGAGCCTTGGCAAACCTGATGTTCTGGGTTTGACCAGGTAGGTTGCTGAATCTCTTTCTCAGAAGAGGTCTTGGTCCAGTGCATTTCTTTCACTTTTCTAGGTGTTCTTAGTCCTGCAGTATTTTGGGTTTAGCATATACTGTTGCCCCTATCAAAAACTCAGTGATGTGTTCTTTTATTACTGGTGTGACAATGCATACGCTGCTCATGACTCTTACTAATTTGAAAACCACAGGTTGCAATTTCCTTTAACTACTAACTGCTACTAGTTTAATCTCTTTGTACAGACCTCCTTGGAGTTTAAGACTCCTGGGATGGGGATCTATTATTATTTGTGCCTTGTGGGAAGGAAAAAGCCATCTGCCAATAAAACACTCATCCAGAAGGCATGTAACTTATAATAAAAACCCGCCCTCCCATCCACCTTCCCTGCAGAGTGGGTGATTGTATGTTTTTTACCCTCTGTTCAGAAAAAGGGACCCGGTTATTGGCAGCAGTAGGGGGGCTGCTATATTTATCGAGGCCAAGTGAGCATGGCCTCTTAGTAAGATGGCTTAATGGATTTAGATTGCTAGACTAGGGGAGTTCTTGCCAGACGTTCACTGGGAGCGTGGATAATTAGAGTTTGAGAACAAGTATTGCAGGTAAATAATTTTCTGTGTGCAGAGTGCATGCTTTATGTGACTTTCTGTTTAAGCGTGTGTGTGTTCTTTATTGCTGGCTTATTTTGATGATCAGCTGTCTAACATATTCAACATTTTTTGTTTATTTTACAGGAGCTATTGGTTACATGGGAACAAGTGCCTTTGTTCGTAAAATCTACACTAATGTGAAAATTGACTAAGGAAATAAGAAAATTGAACTATGGATCAGTTCCTGTTTTCATGGGGATGAACTTGCACAACAAAAAGCGCGAGAAGAGATTTGGGTTTTAACACTGGGCACTGTATGGGTCTCCATTTTGTGGATGGCTTAGAGTAACATCTATTTCATTGATCCTAGGTTCTTACTGACTGCTTTCTCCAACTGTTCACAGCAAATGCTTGGATTATATGCAGTAGGCATTACTACAGTACGTGGCTAATCTTCCCCAAAAAAAATAAAAACCGAAAAACCTAGCTCATTAAAGATGAATAGACTAGCTCTCTTCAGTGAAGAGGACAAACGGTTTATTTAAAGCATTTGTTCCATTCAATAAAAAGAGGGAAACTTGGCTGCTAAAACTACTTGATTAGTAGTCTTCCTGGTACTTAACATTTCTAAATTATGTAAAAATGCCGTTCCAGAAAGATTACTCTTCTGATTTTTACTGCCATTGCCAGGATAGGAGGTATGTTTTATATTTTGACTCCAGGTGCTTTTTGGTTTATTTGCGATATCAACTATACCCTACACTCATTTGTTTAAAAAATAATTTAAAAATATATAAAAACCCCATATGCATGTAATATATCAGCTATTGTTCTAGTTGGACCAACTTCCCTTTATTTATCTTTAAAGTAATATCCAGCTACATCTTAAATCCATCCAAAGAAAATACAGTCTGAAGACGGGGTGTGTTCTCTGCAATGCAATTTACTGTACAGTTAGAAAGCAAAATGTTAAATGAAGAGGATTGTTTGTTTTTTTAATAAACACTTTGAGGTCTAGATTAAAACAAAACCAACATTTTAACTGAATGTCTAAGGTGATTCTCCTTTTTTCCAAGTTAGTCTTGCGTTTCTTTTTGCTTTGGGTTTGAATGAAGATTCTCCTTTAGACATTATACAAGGGGTAATAAGTGTATATAACATTAAATAATGTAACTTAGGTGTAGATCCCAAATGTATTTGGATGTACAGATTTACTACAGAGTACTTTTCTGATGATTCGGTGTAAAAATGTGTGAATTTGGGTGGCTTTTTACATCTTGCCTGCCATTGCATGAAAAGTTGGGGTTTCTTCACAATGTGTGTATGTCATGCTTTTCTGTTCTATTTCCTTTCTCAAGCTCTTACAGGAATTAAATTTGTAATTTAGAACATTTTAATTTTTGTTAATCCTGTCTGGACACTTGTGTAACATCAAAAGCACAGTTGCTTTAGAGTGTTCAGAAAACTAAAATAAACTTTTCAGACAAAAATGTTCTGATTGTGAAAATAGATGAGTTTGCAATTGAAAATGTTTGAAAAGACAATACTGCTGAACGCCAGTTTCTGTATAAAATATTAGCGTGGTTTTCAAATATCAAAACCCCATACTTTGAATTCAGAATTTGCTTACAACTGTATTGTACAATACAGCTCCAAAGTGGATGACCAGCCCAGAAAGATTCTTCTTGGCTGAACTGTTTGTGGAGAAATCTGTTTTGTGATCCAGCTGGTGTACTGAGAAAAGGCGGGGGGGTAAGTGTGGACTGAAATAAATGAGCAAATAAAGGTTAAGTCTTTGTAAGATGACTGTTAATTATGCACTGTATTTAGCTAGAAATGTCCTGACTGTGTTTGTGACAGATTTGAGAGCCAGTTGGCTTAATTTTTTTTTTTTTTTTTTTTTAAGGCATCTGCCATATAGGGATGTTTTTATCAGTGTGGCTGTCTGAAATAGAGCACCTACCATGGAGAAGGCAACTTCCTGAATTTAAAAAATGAGCGAAGTGTTTGTATTGATTAGCACTGTATCATTCCTTTATAAAATGTACTGATAATGCAGTAGCCACAATGAGAAACAACCATGCTTTGGCAGGGTTGGGTTGGAGGTTGGGGGAACTGAACTGATAGGTAATAGTGAGAAGCAATGCATCCAGCTGTATATGGCTCCTGAAAAGTATTTGAGCTTTCAGCTCTGATTTCCCTGGCCAATTTTAACCAATCTGTCAGAAAATAATTAAGTTTTGCTTCAAGTGAATGGTTAGTGTCTGTAGCTGAACACTCTGCCGTTTAACAGAAGATAATTCTTTTTTAAATGTACAGGCTGATTTTAAGATGAGCTTATAAACTGGGTCAACAGTTAGTTTTCCTTTGTTCCAAAACATGGAGACTTAAAGCAAAGAATGGGTTTTGTACTAGTTCTTGCTAGTGCATACAGCCGTGGGAAGCCCTCTTTTTATCCATGTTCATCTAAATCTGAAGTGAGAAGCCGTTATCTTCACACAATAAATACATTAAGTACTCTGCTGAGATACAAGTTTTTTAAAGGGAATATTTTGATAATGGGTCTGTTTCTCTATTTAGAGCACTGCTATGTGATTAGTCTATCAGAACTGTCACTAAACCGTTTGTGAATTTCATTTAATCACTTTTTAATGCCACAGAATGGTGGGCTGCCTACTTGCTTTCTCTATCCTCTGGCATTATTAGCTTTTGCATATCCAGATAGGATTGTATAGCTTTTAAAGTGACATTGAAAAGATACTTACTGCACAGGCATTGCTTTTGTTTCTGCAAGCACGTTCCTCTGGAGAAGTACTGTCTTTAAATAATTGACATTTTTATACTTCCACCCTAGCACATGAGTAAGCTGGGGGGTTGCTTTGTTTTGCCCCTTCCTTTTGGTTTCTGAAGGAGTGTAAAATGTGACCAGTTTTCAACAGCTTGTCTTTATGGCTGCTGTTTGGGGCAAGGCTATTTGGCCCCCAAAAACTGTGGATATAGCTTGAACCATCTTGCTTAATAGAATTCGGAAGCTCTCTGCTTAGATGATGTAGTCCTTCCTCTTTTATGGAAGAAATAAAGATCTTACAGCCAACACTCCTCTTTCCATGGTTGTTTCTCAGGAGTTTCTGGTTCTTGAATTGCAGCTTTTTGATAATTCTTCAGTTGGCCGCTCAGTGCTTCTCTTCCCGCTTCTGGTACAGAGGCCAGAGAACTGAGTAAATAGTTGTGTAGCAATAGCCTGTCTTGATCAAATGCTTTAAATAATTAAAGTTGTAAATCTTTTCAGTTGAGGCACAGTGCACCTAGAAAGCACTTCTGGTACTTCATGTATGAAAAGTGGTGAACACTGGGTTGGAGATAATGGAGACTGCAAATAAACATTACGTTACGCTCTTTTTTTGATGTCTGAATGTTTTGAAGCAACAGTGTCTATTAACTCCTCTCCAGACTTACATTCCAAAGTGTGTAAAGGGCAGACAATTGAATTTTTGTTTCTGTATGATAGTCTAGGTTTATTTCTTTTAACAAGCATCAGGTTAAAAACCAAAGACCTAATACTTTGTACACTTTTGGTGCTAAAACTGGGTAAAATTGATAGCACATTCTTATCACTATCGTTACTGCAGAGGTAACACAAATGAGAAAGTTACATTTTGCTCTGGCTTCAGCGTCACCAGCATCTAGCCAAATTTGCCCAATGCAGTATATATACACAGCTTCACTGAAGACAGCAAAATTGCCTAACTGTGAGTGCATCAGCAGTTTCTCCACTGGAATGTATCCAAAAAGCAAGTAAACTAAATAGTTGGAGCTAGACTTGAGGGATCCTCTTATCTGGAATTAATTCTTAGCTGTGCAGCTTGTGGTTCATTTTAAGAGTTGGTTGGAACTTGTAGGTTGGATTCCATTTTTGGATCCATTGGGTCTTTTCTAGCTAAATGCACTGTCTTGCAGTCTTGCAATGGCTGTTAGCACTGTTGCTGTCTAAAACAACTATCTACTGTTAGGGTTAGCACTGCAGTCGCGAACGCCACTGCTATTGTTGGACCTCTGTTGGAATAAAGCCACGTTTTAAAATTTTGAAGCAGCTCATTTATGGTTTGCATTCTTCAGGAGCATCTTTTCTCAAAAAAAAAAAAAAAAAAAAGTTTTGATACCATTTGTTTTCCAAAGGCAGAAGTATAGAAATGAGCCGTGCAATGGAACATTTGCTTTTTGCTAAATAGCTTCAGGGAGAAAATTCTAATTTTCTGAGGAGACATCTGCATGTGAGTTCTACAAATAGTTCCTCACATCTCCGCGGTTTTATCCAGGAGGTGCTTTTTCAGTTGGGGGAAGGGGCTGTTACAGTATTTACTTCTATGATTAGTTCTGTGGTTCTGAAATTTTTCTTCAATTTTTGGGTTATGGCCTGTGGAACAGAAAAAACCAAAACCCAAACCAAAAAAAGGGAGAACCAATGAATCTAGAAGGCTTTGTGCAGTTCCAGTAAATTCAAGCAGTTGGAGAGAATCACTTTAAAGGGCAGAAACTCAATTGGGAAAAGGAAAAGAAAAAGTTGTTTTATCTGGTGGACTAACCTATTTCGAAGGTAAGCCTCTGGAGAGAAATTTGCTGTTAACAGTATCATTTGCCCCCAGCCCCATATCAATTGCAGCCTTTTCATTTTCATCAGTGTATTTGCCATGGTGCAAGGCTTTTGCAATAAACAAGATTCATCTGCCATGAGCAAGGGAGATGATGTAAGTTGCTACCAGCGTTTTCGGCTTGTTGATAGGTTAATGTTCTCGCCAACTCCTAGTAATGCAACAAAGAACAATATGTTGAATATCTCTGGAGGTTCTACTATTCTGAGGCTTCATTTCTTACAGAAAACAAACCCATGGGAACTTTCCTTACTTTCTATATGGAAGATCTCCTTCAAGACCTTGGGCTTGGAGCATTCCAAAACATAACTGTGCAAGTTCATACTTACCTTTCAGCTGGCATCACATGGCTACAGCGTTCCAGAAAATAAATGCATTTTTAGAATTGGGAGTTTAATAATTTTACAGAACTGTTCTTTGGGGGGTGGGGGAGGATGTGGGGGTGTGTTCTGTTACAAAATAGTCCTAACATAGAAATAAAATCTCCTAATATTGCAAGACATGATTACCCATATGATGCAGTAGTTACCTTGATAGATTTCAGTTCACCAAAGCATAGACTTAAGCCCTATAAACTTGAAATACTATGCTGGGTCTGGGCCAAAATGTCCAGTCTCCAGCAGTTCTGTCTAACAAGCTGACCAAACTAGAAATACATACTACAATTAGGCACCAGGCTGTGAAAATTTTCTGAGGCTGTGCGTGGCAAGTTTTTACTTGGTTTCTGAAAAGTTTTGAGAGCTATAGTAACTAAACTGTTTCTGAGAATCTTCCAAGCATGGCTGAGAACATCCTGTGATACTGAACTCAAGGAAACTTTTGTGGCTGCTCATTCTCATTTCCCAAAGGTTTGTCTCAGAAATTTCAGAGTTGTGCGATGTACTAGACAAGACATGGTGGTTTTCTGGGCTACTAGAGATGTAGTGCTCCCTTTGAGTTCATTTTATGCTATTTTTTCTTTCTGAATCACTACAGTCTTGGTTTAGCTGTATCACTTTATTGGGCTGAGAAAAATGCATTATGTTATTAGCTTAGTGTGAGGCTTTTCTTGCTCTGCTACAGAGGAGTAGCTACAAGAATGGGATGGAAATTTTCTTCTGATTTCCCTTCTAATGTCTGACCACAAGTTGGCAGGTGAATTAGCGAACATTACCTACTATTTGTTTTAAAAAGAGATCTGGCAGTTTTACAGAGATGGACACCCATTTACCTGCAAGAATTGGGGACTTTTATAATAAAATGTTGAAGAGATGCTATTAGGTTACTTCAGTTCTGCATTTGGACTCTGCAGAATCATTTTTAGTAATTTGCTTAGCTGAAAGTTGTTTGGGGTTTTTTTTGTGGTTTTTTTTTTTTTGGTTGGGAAATTTTGTTGTTTATCTCACTACCAGAAAGTGATCAAACACCCACCTTTGTCTGTATCTCAAATGTACCACATTTTTCTGTGATATGTATAGCGAAATAAATAACGCAAAGGAAATCACTATTCCTGGTTTTAGCGATCAAGAGTGACATGTAAGATGAACCTAATTTAAAGTACTGCTTGCCTAACAAAGGGAAATACCTGCATGTTCTGTGCCATAGCCAGGTGTGTGATTTGGATGAAGGTGTTACTACAGATAAACCTATGTACAAAAATCCTGTGCAGAAACTGTGACTGGGAAACTTCTCTAAGGCAATTCTCCATGAAACAGCGGCTCTGCTTTTTTGACAGATTCATTAAATTCTACCCACTGTTGCGAAACAGCCTGAACTCAGGTAGCATATGCTGTCAGGCTCTGTAAAGGAGGCCTGTGGGTGAACAGGTAAATAAATGCAACTCTCCCATCTTTGCCCCATAG